CCTCCGGGGTCCCCCCGTACCCCTCGCCGAGGCACGGCCGCCGCCCCGCCGGTAACTTCGCCTCCCGCCCAGCGGGGAGGGTTCCTGCCGTCCACTCTGGGTGGGCGCCGACCTACCCCCTCCTCCAAATAATAGGAAGAAGAAGAAAAAGAGGAGGAAGAAGCAGCAGAAGAAAAATAAGAGGAAGAAGAAGTAGAAAAAGAAAAAGGAAAAGACGAAGAAGAAGAGAAAGAAGAAAAAAGAAGAAAAAGAAAAAGAAAAAGAAAAAGAAAAAGAAAAAGAAAAAGAAAAAGAAAAAGAAAAAGAAAAAGAAAAAGAAAAAGAAAAAGAAAAAGAAAAAGAAAAAGAAAAAGAAAAAGAAAAAGAAAAAGAAAAAGAAAAAGAAAAAGAAAAAGAAAAAGAAAAAGAAAAAGAAAAAGAAAAAGAAAAAGAAAAAGAAAAAGAAAAAGAAAAAGAAAAAGAAAAAGAAAAAGAAAAAGAAAAAGAAAAAGAAAAAGAAAAAGAAAAAGAAAAAGAAAAAGAAAAAGAAAAAGAAAAAGAAAAAGAAAAAGAAAAAGAAAAAGAAAAAGAAAAAGAAAAAGAAAAAGAAAAAGAAAAAGAAAAAGAAAAAGAAAAAGAAAAAGAAAAAGAAAAAGAAAAAGAAAAAGAAAAAGAAAAAGAAAAAGAAAAAGAAAAAGAAAAAGAAAAAGAAAAAGAAAAAGAAAAAGAAAAAGAAAAAGAAAAAGAAAAAGAAAAAGAAAAAGAAAAAGAAAAAGAAAAAGAAAAAGAAAAAGAAAAAGAAAAAGAAAAAGAAAAAGAAAAAGAAAAAGAAAAAGAAAAAGAAAAAGAAAAAGAAAAAGAAAAAGAAAAAGAAAAAGAAAAAGAAAAAGAAAAAGAAAAAGAAAAAGAAAAAGAAAAAGAAAAAGAAAAAGAAAAAGAAAAAGAAAAAGAAAAAGAAAAAGAAAAAGAAAAAGAAAAAGAAAAAGAAAAAGAAAAAGAAAAAGAAAAAGAAAAAGAAAAAGAAAAAGAAAAAGAAAAAGAAAAAGAAAAAGAAAAAGAAAAAGAAAAAGAAAAAGAAAAAGAAAAAGAAAAAGAAAAAGAAAAAGAAAAAGAAAAAGAAAAAGAAAAAGAAAAAGAAAAAGAAAAAGAAATAAAAAATTCTCTTTGTTTTCATGGTTTATTCCCAGATTCTTCGGCGGCGGGGCGGAGGGAGGCAGGGGGGTGCGGAATTATATCATTCCTCAATCCCTCGCAAAGATTAGAAGAGGGAAACCTGGCGTCCTTCTCAAAAATCCGGGCAGCAAGGCAAATGGTTCGGCAGGGAGTGACGGCTCTGCCTGCTCCGGGGGAAAAAAAAGGAAAAAAAAAATCTTTCCAATCAGTTAATGTGGCCTCGCAATATTAATGATAAAAACCCGGCAGCTTTGCTTCCATTGGCCGGTGCCTTTGCCTTGCTGCATTGCATACCCTCGCCCATCAGCTCGGGGCATTTCGGGTCGGGTTTTATTCATTTATATCCCCTAGATGCCCCCGTTAAAAAAAAAAAAAAAATAGAAGGCAGGGAGGAAAAGAAAGGTTTCCTTTGAGCTGCCAATACCTCCCTCCTTAAATACTTCCATTTTTACCCTACATCGTCTCTCCTGGAAGGGCAGCTGCTGCAGCCGCGCATCCCCCGAGGATGGATTTTATAAACTTCGTTGTTGTTGTTGTTGTTGTTGTTGTTGTTGTTAACAGCAGGGATTTACAGGGTGGCGACTGAAATCCATTTCTCCTCACCGGCTTGTTTAGACACCAAAACTAACAGCGCGATTATTATTCCTGAATGATATCAGGGTAATGCAGAAAGATAAGAACGGCCTGATAGGGAAATGTTAAAATTATGTTCTTGGAGGTAGTTCATTTGGACTAACTTTAAATTAGATGAGATCATGTAGCCTGGAATGTAATATAATAAAGATCTAATAAAGAGAGCTGTATTTCTGCCTTCATCTTCCTCCCGCTCCTGCTCACAGGAATCACAGTTGGGCTTGCGATTGCAAAAGTGAGAGGCGAAGAGCACGGCACCTATGATTGGAAAACACCCTTGCTCCAAACTTTTAGTTCCTGGAAAATGGATCTTTCAAGAATGGGGGGTTATGCTTCAGGCACTGAGGCGAGGGAGGGGATCTTTAATTGATTTTTAATTGAAGGGAGCAGGTTTTGGACAGACTTTCAGGTCTCTGGTGCTTTTCACAGACACTGGGGACACCGGTCCTCCTTGCTGTTCTGCGGGACCTGGTGACATTCCTGGTGCTTTTTACCAATACACAGAACCAGCTCAATGCATGGGCTGGGTGTTTTGATGCTTTTCCTTCATAGGGGGTTATCTGACATGCACATGCATGCACACATCTCTTCATGCATGTGCCGCATCTTAAAAAAAGACCCATTTCATCACATGCCACCAAATAATATTTTTGGGGGGAGAGAGAGATGTAAAATACACACACACCAGCTCATACGAGCACCGACGCATTCACCCATCCTGTGTGGAACAAGCTATGGACTTAGGGGTTATGCCCTGTGCATGTTTGCAGTATTTCTTGCTCAGTTGTGTGCCCCCAACCCCGAGCAAAGCCTTTGTGCAGCTTCAGCTACCAACAGTTACGCAGCTACAGCCTTCTGCAGGGAGAGGTTTAGTGGAGTGAGTTGCTCCCCTGCGTGCATGTGGTGGAAGAGGGTAGCGGTGATGGATGCGGCAGACTGGGTCATCCCACCATTGGGCTTGCCCAGGTTCTGCTTTCTTGCCCTGGTCAACAAGCGATGCTTCACGGGAAGGCGCTGCACTCTGTGGGAGAGCATTGTAGAATGACTTGCTGCAAAAATAAAAGATTCCTCTTGGCCCCCATTAATTAGGACCTGGTTTATGCCCCGAGGCTGAAGTTTACAGCCCTTTCAAAACTTAATTTCTGTTCTGCTCATTTTATCTATCCATGATACTACGAGATCACCTAGAAATGCCCTGTCCTTTAACACAGTGCTATATGCATTTACAGAACTCATTTCTCGCAGGTGATCTGTTCATTTTTCTTTTGCAGCACTCTTTATTTTTTTTTTTTCGAGTCCACTGATAACGAGGAGGATGATGTGTATTTTTGCACCAGGGGATTTCCCTCACGGCTCAGGTGATGACCCTGAAGCATGGCCGGTCACCCTGGGGAGCCACCAATGCTAGGAATCCTGTCCCCTGCCGACACCATGCCATGGGCAGGTCCTGTGCATTTTACTGCCATGGGTCTTCTCAAAGCCCTTAGGGTGGTGGCAGTGGGGGTGAAGGTCCTGATGAGTGGGCCAGCGGGTTAACTGCCTTACAGCAGGATTTAGTGCCCCAAATTATAGCAGCCTCCCCAGATGATAAAATTAAGCATCGTTCTCTCTGTGTGCTCACATGGAAGTGCTGCATTGAGCAATATTGGCTGCAGCCAGGTCGGCAGCCTCTTGGGTTGACATTGCTGTCGCTGTCAAGTGCATTAATGCCAGAGTGGAGAGCACTAAAACCACCCACACCAAGCCCACTGGTAGCTTGGGCTCCACAGGACCCACCAAATGGTCTTTGGGTGCCACCCTTTCAAGAGGCTCCTGGGGCAGCACTACCTCTGTGCCAACTCCTGGCCTTTCCTTAGCTATGTGAGCTATTAAATAATAGCTAACGAGTGGGTAAAGAGGGGTCCGCCCTTTCCAGGGTGAGAAATGCCCAGTGGAAACCCAACAGGATTCCTCTACCTTGGGTAGAGGCTGCAGAGCCCCGCGAGGTCCTTGGGTCCATCAGCCCATGTCCCCAAGGAAGGGCCTGTGGAGATCACCATTTGTTTTCTCTGCAGCAGA